TCAAAGCAAATCTTATATGTTTAAAATAGGTCACTGCACGTGGTTATAAAGCAGGTATTGCAGTAAATAATTTAAATATTTGATCATTATTAAGCAAAATGTAATCCTAGTTTCATTAATAAAACTTTGAAACGTCACAGTCAAATTATTAGACGTAACTATTCATTTTTTTCTTTAACTAAACTTACTAAAACCTTATGACCACCCTTGTGCCCTATCTATCCTATCTGTAACAGTACAGCTGTAAACCAGACACATTTACAAGTGCATGTCTCTCTCCCCCCGAAATTCTAATTACACAACACATGCAAATTTGCAGACATGCACACAGCTCTCGTCACCATATGTGAATAGTCATGGAAGTGTGTCCGTATGACTAACTACAGACATAAGCAGCACAGTGTGTTACATTTGAACAAAATAGGAAAACTGAGTTGATTATGCTACAATAAACTATTCTGAAAAGCTCTACTTACAAATGATACTAGAATATGCAATGTAAACATGTCATTAAACCTTCCAAATACAGGGATGATGTACAATAGAGCCAACACAACTGTCTAAGGCTGCTTGTTCATCAGGGTCTTTACACTCTTTACACATCAGAGTATGTACTTGACAAATGGCTCATATCATCCAATTCACATTAGTTTGTTTTGCTGTTGTTTTATTTTTTACAGTGGGAGAGGAGCACTATTACCCTTGTCCTCATAAGTGGACTGATGGCTAACAATCAAACATGAAATAGGCCCAGCTGACTAATGATGCAATGTGAGAATTGGCACATATGTGGCCTATTGCTGACACCCTTTAACTTTCTGAAGCACTTTCTTTTAATGTGTAAGTGTTGAAGTGTTTTTTTTTTTGCAAGAGGAGATTGATATACTTAAACAACCTACACCTGAAGGATGTAGAGTGTAGAATGGTTGTTGTCGTGCATTTCTATATAAGATCAATGCTTTAGTATTTCCACTGATTTAATTATATCTTATTTGTTTCTGCTGTGGCAACAGAAGTTGTTGACCATTTTTGGAGGCCCTTTCTGATAGAATTTATCTAAGCAGTTCATGTTTTTACCTTATATACACTGTAGGTTCAGACATTATTTATATTGTAGGTTCATATACTCTGTAAGGTATATACGTAGTTAATACACTGTAGCTTTATTAGTACTGTATTCTTAATACACTGTAGGTTATTACTGTATATTTTAATAACACTGCGTAGTATCTATACTGTATGTTAATTACACTCGTAGGTTATTATACTGTATGTTAATACACTGTAGGTTATTATACTGTAGGTTCAGATTGAAGTTGGGGACAAAAGCTAACATGACCACTGACTACTGGCGGGTACGAGCGTTGCGCGCCCTCGATGTGCCTCGCTCTCGTAGCCAGTTCAGCCATTCACATGTAAATGAACCGTCATATATATCTAGTACATGCCCCCTCGGAGGAGCATTGAGGAGCCCAGTCTGTCTGCAAGCTTTGTTGGCCGCTGGGATCGCCCGGCCATCTGTCCCATTGACAAGCTGTAACGGCTCTTTGGATTACCCAGCAACCTCCCGAGCAGTGGGCTTCTGGCAGCGCCTGGGTTAAACTACAACAACATGGCCCCCATCCGTAACAACACAGGCGGAATGGACAGAGGTGATAACTGCAGTGGGATCAACTCTGACAGAAAGGTACGGGCCTGTGTGAGAACTTAATGCCAATGTTTCTGCTTTAACTCGGCTGATAACTGACTGAAGTTAACTCCATTGTCCTTTCTGTTTTGGCAGATGAGGAAACCTCTGGTCGAGAAGAAAAGAAGAGCTCGCATCAATGAAAGTTTACAAGAACTCAGAGTTCTCATCGCGGATGCAGACGTAAGATAATATATATATATGTTTTAAGGCCCCTGGTTTATGTGGCGTTGTTCCTTCTAAATTAACTATCGTGATGTTTTGTTTTAGCCAGTTAGCTTTGTTTCTCACGTTTTTTCTGGTGACCCGCTGCAGTTACAATCAAAGATGGAGAACGCCGAAGTGCTGGAGATGACAGTGAAACGTGTGGAGAGCATCTTGCAGAGCCGGGCTCAAGGTAAACCCTACACTGCATATTACTGTTCACTTAAGTAAGCCATTAACCATTAATTAAAGTTATAGTTGGTTACATATTTTTTTATTTTTACTTTTCGCTAAAAAAAAAAAAGATTTTACCCAGTGTAGCGTATTACTTTCATGTCATTCCTCCGCCGCCGAACAAACTAGTACTTTAAAAACTAACATAACAAACTGATTTATAACGGTCGGCGCATTAATATTCTAATCAACGGCACTGCGGCCACAGGTGTGTGCGTGTGCATCTTCCGCCTCGGCTCAGCCAATCACAGCAGAGAACCAGACGTTTGTCCGTTATGCGTCCCTTTGTAGTCCCAGCTGACGATTGTTGTTTGTTTTCATCTTCCCGTAGAGGTTGACGCCGTGAACCGGGAGGCCTGTGAGCGGTTCGCGGCGGGATACATCCAGTGTATGCATGATGTGCACACTTTCGTGTCCAGCTGCCCGGGAATTGACCCGACAGTAGCCGCGGAGCTGTTGAACCACCTCCTGGAGAGCATGCCCCTGAACGACGAAGACCGCCTCCGGGTGATGCACCCGGACTCTGTGGCGGAGTGCCCCGGCAGTAACAGCACTTGGGCCCTGCCTGAGAGCATGTACACGGCCCTGGTGTCCCCAGCACCCTCCACCACCTCCAGCGATGACCTCTGCTCTGACCTGGACGATACAGACTCGGAGCAGAGTCAGGTTTCTTCTTCAGAGGAGGCTGATAGCCAGGATGTGTTGAGCTTGCCTTCCTTGACTTACTCCAAGTCAGTGTGGAGACCATGGTAGATACATTAAAGGAGATGGCATGTTTTAATCTGCTGTAGGTGATTTATTGCTCTGTGTTTAGGGTGTTTTATGGGGTAGGCCTCAGGTGTTGTTTTGTGGGGTAAGGTGCTGAACGACATCGGAGAAGCTCTTTTTGTGTAATTATTGGGGGAACTACAATTGAACTAAAATGTATTTAATAAATAAAGTATGTAATTAAATCTGTTTTGCAGAGGTCAGAGAGGGTCTTCATTTGGAAGTGTATTGGCCTTATACAGGCCTGCCTTCAGTGAAGGGACAAAATGCATATGTAAATATTTACTTGTTGAATATGACTGGGCTGTATAGACGATAGCTGTCCCACTAGGAATGCATTGTTAGTTGTGTGTAAATTATTTTTTATTTAGGATCGTCTTTTAACTTTTGTATTTATAAGTATCAAATGACTGTTAGTAGGCTACCTCACCTAATACGTTTCAATAAATATCCTTTTGACTTTTGTTTTAAATTCTATTTGTGCAGCACTTTCTTCCAAAAAAGACACATTTTTCACACACAAGGATCCCACTCTCCACCCACCCACGGCTGTTTCCAAGATATTAGTTATTACTCTGCAATTGTGGGCCATTTGTGTGCACTCTCTCTCTCTCCAATATCCCTTAGCACATCGTAGGCATTCGTGAGGTGTGAAATGAGTAATCCACTCACTCCTTATATAGGCCTCGTTGAGGACTTGGCAAATGGGTTTTAAAACTCTACTCTACTTTTTTTCGATGTTGCAGTTTTAAAATAACATGGGAACAAATAACTTGCGCAGTCACTGAATTGTACTATGACTAACAAAGCCACCACTGTCGCACATTCTTGTGTCCTCTGATTGGTTTGTAAGTGTATGGTTTTATCATATTGTACTGGATTACACTGCATATGCAGCTTTCATGCAGGGTGATAAACCAATAGTTCAGTGCATGTGCCTAATAAAAAGTACATTTATACTATCCTATCCAGAAGAAGGAGGGTAAAGAGTGCCATGCTAATTCACAGAGACGCCTTAGAAAGCTTGTGTCTGCATCCTCAGACATGACCTCTGTGGTCCTGGTGGGAGCTACAGACACCGTTCTGCCTCTGCCCCATCAGCCGCTACAAACAAATGAATAAGAAAAGACAGCAATCCTGAGCTCGGTCTTAATCCATCTGCAGTCAGATGCCTCCTCTGGTGTTCCTGTGATGTCCCCTCCCAAGTGTCACTTTTTACACTGACCGCAGTCTTAAAACACCCGTAGTGAGAGGGATCTTTGGTGAAATGACAAGAAAAAGATTAACACAGAGTTTAGGATTGTAGAAGAATATTAATCCTAGTTGGTATCACATATCTCCAGTGTTGGAAAGTAACTAAGTACTTAAGTAATTAAGTGTAATTCTGAGGTACTTGTAGTTTTATGTGTATTTTATTTCAGAGGTAAATGTAGTATTATTACATCAACTACATTTATCTGATTTTGCAGTCGCTACTTTGCAGATTAAGAAAACAAAACACGATTAACTTATAAAATATGATTAATTATTAGAGACTAAACTGTAAAGTATATAAAGTAGTTAAAATAGCTCTACCCTGACCAGATACTACATACTGTTACTTTGCGTAATTACATTTTCTGCTACTTTATACTGTAATTTATACTACTTTTATCACATTTCAGAGGAAATATTCCACTTTTTACTCCACTACAATTACAGTTGCAATATTAATTTGAAGATTAAGACTTTTGAATGCACAAAATACTGCATACATGTTATAATAACAATATAATATGTGATGATAGAAACTTTATGTGGACTTTCTACACAGTGAGTCATTTTTTTGGTAATACTACGTCTGCTTCCTCATTACTACACTCAAGCTTACACAAGTGTTATTCTTTTAACTGTTTAACTCCCAGAAGGTTTTTGAGGAAAAGAAAGAAAGAAAACGTTATTTCATGATAACGAACGTAAAGCAGTCCGCTCGGATCTGCGGGTCTGTGTCGGACTAGACCGGATTTGCGGGTCTCCAGAGGTGCAAATTACCGCTGCAGGAGGGCAGTTTGTTAATTTGGTTAAGGTGTGAACAGGGGAGGCTGGGGGGAGGGTCGCTTTGATCAGGCCTGCCGAGCGGTGGACTGGAGGATCTGACTGTCTGCGGAGTGCATGTGAGCTATTGTTTCAGTGGTCGGCCAGACATCCGCTTAGAGAGGAAAGGTGAATGTCATGACTTCAGGATGTCAAGTTTTCGGCCCATATTGATAATTTATAAATGATTATGTAGTAGCTGTTATTAGAGACTCATTTGTTTTTTATCTCCTCTGTGTCTCTTTGCCCTCATAGAAGAGCAGAAACATTACAACTTTATTTTCTGAGAGTTCAAAGTTAATTTTCATTCAGTTCATACCTAAATCAATTGCCCCCTCCTCACCATATGTCGGCAAACAGGCTATAATGTCCTACAGTCGTTTATACTCATTAGTTGGCCAATTAACAGCTGCAATCTTTAGTCTGCTGTTTGTCAAATTAACTTAATATGGGCTGAATGGTCAAACCTCAATTGGGGCCTTTAAAAACATTTCACAACACAATTAAATTCATTGTAAATTAGGCAACATTTTATTTGGAGATTTTTTAACAAATATAACAGAATATTCACCATTAAAAAAAGAAAACAAAAAGGTTGTCAGTGTCCGTTCAAATAACAGAAAGACAAATGACAAATTCAGGGAAACGTTCAAGTTGCCAAGAAGAGCAAATTACAGCATAAGCTTCAAAGTGAAGGAAAGCTCTCCACACATGACATCTGTCTGAGCTGCTTTATACCCATGCAATAACCCTAAACTGTGACTTCTGAAGTGGCCACATGTTTGTTCTGAACAGTGATGAGCTTCACTCACTTCCACAGGATGCTCTTTTCCATATTTATGAGGGCCAAGATTAGACCAGTTCAAGTGTTATGTGACACACTTTTAAAACTGGGGAAAACATCAATATTCTCCTCACTTTATTTTTATCCCCCACCGTAAACAACATATTATTATTTTGTGGGGATTTTCCTAATGTGGATTACACAACTCACATTTTTTAAAATAAAATATACAGTAAATATTCATAATCTTGGTCCTGCTTAAGCTGGACTTCCGTCATAACTTAAAACCACAAATCTCTTTGTACAGAAACAGTTATTGTTTGTAAAAAAAATATATATATATGCTCAGAGTCAAAGACAAAAGTTTTGAAATGCAATAAATACACTTTCCTTGAACGGGAGGCATCTGTGAAATCAAAGTCAGTGAAGGTTTCACAGGTGATACAGAAAAAAAAACCACATTCAGTTAGAAACTTATAGATATACATATAAAGAATGAAAACTTAAAGCTGCATCAGGTAACAGGAGACACAGCTAGCTCCAAATGACAAGAACATTTTAAAATCTGAATGAAAAATTCCAGAAATAATAAAACATGATGGGCTGGTGAGTAAATGTTGCTTATAGTATGTGTTGCATCTGATTGTCTTTTTCTCAAAGTGCAGTCTCAAATGTTTTCACCGCTTTCATTGGGTCATATATGTGCTTAAAAATTTCAATTTCATGCTACTCTGTGCTTAAAATATATTATACTTCAGCTATTGCCTTTTAAATTTCCTCCCACTCATTATATCCAACACCAGAAACTACTTTGGGCAAACAGAGCAGATGTACAGTTCATGTTATTCTTCCACAAAGTGCATTTTTGCTTGATCGCTATGCATGACGGGAGTGACTGAAACCGAGTTGACTCCACCTGTTCTCACCACATGCTGACGTAGTTGTTATTGTAACTGAGTTGTTGTAACTAAGGAAATTGCGTCACAAAAATACTGAATTCATTCATTAGTTGCAACAGTTAAGAAGAGCCACTTCCTGGCGTGTGAATAAAGTCGTCTGCAGTTGGTTGATGTTTGTTTGACCTCCGCTGAACTGCCTCGTGTATGAGCACATACTGGATTTTCCTTATTGGGCTCTGCATATAAAAAGCTTCACCTAGGTGCTGCGCATTGTTAAGTGCTACATAGAAATGAATGAATAAACGTATGTCCTCATAAAGCCCAGACCTAACCGCTGGCTCCAAATACATGTTGCAGCTTATAAGCATATTAAAATAAAAGAACTGATGTCCTCTATGTATATTCACATTCTCCACAAGTCTTGACTGTTTGAGCCAGTTTTCCACAGACATCTAAACAGGTACAACTCGTAAAAAAAAAAATGGCAAGACAGAGACAGTGATGAATAATTGTGTGTGAAGAGCGAAGGGCCCTGCTCCAGGTGAAGTAGGTCCCTCTTCACAGTCGTGCACAACAAGAGGCTGATGGGTAATGAATGTCACTGTGAGAGTCTTTAGCAGTTTATTGTCTAGCTTGTTGTGTCTGGGAGCTGGAGCCAGGAGAAGGGCCATGGCAGGAAATGACAACAGTGTTTGTGGGTTCCTCTATTGGCCTCCGCTGGCAGCCGACCACTCGCGTCTCTGTATCGCAGATGTCCAGGTCCGGCTGATCCGCCTCCGCTGCCGCAGCCGCCCCTGAGGCGTTGTCACAGCAGGAGCACACCTAGACACCACGGACAGATTCAAAAAGGAGACATGAAAATGAGAAGGTGAGTTCGAGTTCACCAGTTCGATATAACCTAATAATAATAGTTATAAAGAAGTATAAAACCATCTCGACTGAAAACTTTATTTCCAGTAAGGCAAATAAACCAAATTGCACTAAATTTAAAATATTCTATTTCAAAGCTTAACAAAAATGAACTTAATAAAATAATTCTACCTTAATGTCTATCGCCTTGGGCAGACCTCCCTTCTTGATCCAGGGGTGGACCTCGATCAGCTCCTTTTTCTGCTCCTCTGAAAACCGTGGCTGGTTCTTCTGCAGCAGCCTCAGCTTCTCTCTGTCATCTCTGAGCACTTTCTGGATGTCACTGCAGATACAGCAAACACACAAACACAGCCACATTGAATACTCGGCCCAACAGTCGTATCTGACAAACCTTTAGGAGGGTTGGGTTTTTAAATGAGAGGGATGGATGATCTATTCTTAATTTTGGAATATATATTGTTGCTGTGTGAAACCTTCCTGCATCTGTGCTGTCTCATTCAATGTCAGGCACCGCTTACCTACTAACTTTAGTAATGTAAGGTGCCATCTAGTGGTCAAAAACCCTCACTGCAAACAGTTCCAGTGTGAGATGCACACTGATTCTTGTCTCTATTTAGGGAAGTTGACCACAATAGAAAATCATGTGTGCTGTATCTAATGCACAAATAAGACAATGTAACTGTAAGGAAATGCAAACAATTGAACAAAACATGCTGTACAACAGTTAAGCCTTTCTGGCTGTTCACACAGGACAGCGACAGCGTGCAGGACTATGCAGCGAGGCATACTGCTGTATTTAGTGCTGCTGCATTAAGACAGTACAAACTGGAGTGCAAATTCATGCAT